ACCCAAAATGGAAATTTAAATGACATAAGGTCCCATTTGTAAGAAAAAAAGTATGTAATTTTCGTAGTTATAACTACATATTTACGACAATCAGCTGAGCAATTTTGCCGAGATCAGCATTGCCAACTTTGTTATTTCCATTTAAACGAACCTTTTGTTATTATTCAATTGCCATTGTATTAAGAAAACATTTCTTGTTTAAAGTACATTTAAATAACACTTTAACTAAAAGGAAACTTTTGCAAAAGGAACTTTATGTGTTTCATTATGAAATTGGCCCTAGATAGTCTTCCATTCATCGCACGTATAATAATATAGAGATGTAATTCAAAACTTACGTTTTTGGAGATTTTATCCTGCAATTAATGAACTTAATAAAGAGAATACGCTTAGGCTAACAGATGACTAAACTTCCCAAAAATGGCGAAGATATGTAGGGCTGTTCAGAATCTTGTGCATATGATCTTGCATTTGAACATTTCGGTGCACTTGTAAATTTACAACAATAAAATGAACTATAAAATTTGCAAATGAAATTCCTACTGCAAATGAAATTGATTGCGTTTTCCCACAAAATTGAAAATTTGAAGTACTTCTGTCTATGTATATCGTTACCTTAATTCACGAAGGCCCTAACCAACAAAATCTTTTATTTAACAGGAGAAGCAAAAAACATTTTAAAAATAGTATCAAAAACAGATAGCGCTTTTTAAAAAGCGGAATGTAACTCCGTTGTTTTTGGTACTAACGCTTTAAAATTTTTATTGAAGCTGATACATCCAAAATAAAATCTGTGATAAACGCTGTTTCGAAAAATGTGTTGGTTAGGGATTTTGTGAATTAAGGTAACGATATGTATTATAAGATAAACATGTGACATATATTGACGATGTGCTTGTATTTATCTATACTAGAGATGGGCACGGGCCGGGCTTACGCAGGGCCGAAATATTTGCTGTCAGCGCGAACTCGTGCGTGCATGGGCGTTCAGTAAAATTTCATAAAAGCACGAACAAGCTCGAAAAAGCCCGTTGGTAATACTACAATTTTATATATATCGCTAGCTTAGAGTGAAATGTTGCTAAGTCCACTTTTTATGA